GTATGTATGTATGTATGTATGTATGTATGTATGTATGTATGTATGTATGTATGTATGTATGTATGTATGTATGTTTTTTGTGTCATTGAGCGTAATTAGACTTAGTTTGGGGAAATTATTACTATTATTGTTATTCACTGGACATGTTTTTGTCAGGGTGGGGTTAAGGTGCTCATCACTGGTCCCTGGCAGGAGGCCAGCTCAAACTACAGCTGCTTGTTTGACCAGATCTCAGTCCCAGCATCTCTCATCCAACCCGGGGTGCTGCGCTGCTACTGTCCAGGTACGATGGAGGAAAGCTTTAATACTTCCCACTGGAAGTTTCACTAACACAGAAACTTACAACCATTACAGTAACTGTTAGTGCTTTTTCAAGCTTTGTGGATTTATCTCTGCTTTTGTGTCACTTATAATGGTAAAAACGTAAAATTACACTTTTATTTATTTATTTATTTATCTGTGAAAGGTCATTCTGTTATATTTTATGAACAGAATTAAAAGTGACCTCTTGTGTTTGTCGAGTTTTGTAGTTCTAACATGCAAAGCAGCTCATTATTTGACATAGGTTTATAAATTAGCTTGAGTCTTCTTTGCTGTTTTTGTTTTTCTAAACTAAGCATTAAAATGCACAGAAGACTGAGCCTACCCTTTAGCATTGCAGATAAGCAGTAATCTGTCTCTGTCATAGTGACATTTTCCTATATGATATCTCATTATCTCCTCACTGTCCAGCTCACGATACAGGTCTGGTGACGCTGCAGGTGGCCATCAGTAACCAGATTATATCCAGTTCTGTGGTGTTTGAGTATAAGGCCCGCGCTCTTCCATCACTGCCGTCCTCTCAGCACGACTGGCTCTCCCTCGATGGTAGGTCTCCTCCCTGGGCTGTGTGTGCTTTGGTTCTCCTGCAATAATACTTTTGTTCTTTTTCATTTTATGCATTTACTATTCAATATAGACCTTGCAGTGTGCTCATTTCCCACTTCTAATTATTTTATGCAGCTCTTCTAGTCTTTTTAATGTAAAAACACTCTTTTTTAGAATAGAATAGAATAGAATAGAATAGAATAGAATAGAATAGAATAGAATAGAATAGAATAGAATAGAATAGATANGAATAGAACAGAATAGAACAGAATAGAATAGAATAGAATAGAATAGAATAGAATAGAATAGAATAGAATAGAATAGAATAGAATAGAATAGAATAGATATTTTCTTGATCCCCTGATGGAAATTAGTTTGTCTCAGCACCAGACAAGATCAAAGTCACGAACAATAAAACATTATAGACAGAGTACGTGTGTAAATGAGATGGAGGCAAGGGGAGGAAGATGCAGTACTTAAAGTGTTTAAGGTCGACTGTCCAGAAAAACAGGGAGTGTAGCAAAGAGCTGAAGAAGGAATTCTTGTGAGACTTCTCGAGATCAAACGTGAGTTCAGAGTAAATAAACACGGCAGACGAAGAGGAAGCGATGGTGGTAGTTTGTGGACTCATTTTAAAAGATAAAAAACAAAATAAAAAGACGTCTCCAACRTCCACCAGACTTTCTGGTGAGCCATGGCAGTTGTTTTGTCTGTATTTTGGATTCCCCTCCATGTTTCCATCACCTCACTTTCTGATTGGCTACACATCACATTCAACAGGCTGTGGGCTCGTTTGTCCTCTGGGAACACCACACACACACACTGGGACATCGAGCCTAGCCAATTTAACATGTTGAAAATCCCAGAAAATCCCAGATTTGAGGTCAAAGCRGTCCTGACGTCCAACTAGATCATGATTAACTCTCCACACACAGGAGGATCTCCTAAGATTATTTTTAGAGCCATCACTRTAGTAGAGGCGTCATTAAGATTGTCAAAATCTGGCCAAAAATTAGCACACCGTATTTTCCAGACTATAAGTCGCTCTGGAGCCTAAGTCACACTAGTCAAACATGCATCATGAAGAGGAAAACAAACAGATATAAGTCACACCAGACAATACGTTGCACTGAAGTAAGGGTCACATTTATTTAAAAATGTATTTCACAAAGCCTAAAAACAGACACAGTAACAAGCCAGAAATTCGAACAAGCAAGTTACCGGTAGGCTAAGTTCACCAACCTGATTCCACATCACGCAATCAGTTTTCTTCATTTTCTGCAGTGYAGTAAGAGTATTGTTTGTTTTTTGCCAGTCCCTCACAGGTTTCTCATTCACTGCAAACTTTCTTTCTGTTGCTCAATTATTGTTTTGGTCTTCATWTTCTTTAACTGGTACAGGAACAACAAATACTGTAGTTGTCACAAGCCTAGAGAGCCCTCTCATGGCTGCAGATCGTAATGTTTACTCCTTGGTTCATGTCAGTCAGTATGAACTAACAACTCATGAGTGAAAAAATGTGTCATGAAGAGGAAAACAAACAGATAAGTCACACCTGACTATAAGTCTCAGGAGCAGTTAAATGTAACAACGAGGGGAGAAACAAAAGGGTGATACTGTTTCTGCACTCTGTTACACTCTTTTACCTGTTGGGGCACCAGACCAGATTTACTTATCGGTCAATTATTCACCTTTTTAGAAATCAGACTCATTTACACCAAAGTGTGAGATTGTAAGATTGCAGGGAACCCTTTTCATAAACAATGACTATTAAGTGAAGAAGGAATCAACTTTGTCATTTGGAAATTTATTACAAAAATTAAAACAAACTTCATAGAATAATGGATAAAATTTGTAAAAGAAAAAATAGTAACATAAAGGACAAAAGTAATAAAAGCTTAGAAAATAGTTTAAAGGTAGAAGTTAATGAAGTAGACTCAATGTTGTTTAGTCTAAGTTTAAAATAAAAGTTGATGTGAAAATAAGGGTTTATGTTTGACCCTTTTAAGAAAAAAACAAATATTTTCTCAAAGGAAATATTTCTCAATTGACAAATGACCCTGTTTAAGAGAGTCCATTTGGACAATCTTGTCAGACTGAGAGTTAGTCATTTTAAAACTTACCTAATATGAGTTATTTAATTATACTGCAGATCAGAAAAGATAACAAGTGCCTTAGCTAATTCAACAACCAGAATAGCCTATATGCCACGGACATCCGGTCCAGCACTCTGGGCCACTCCGACCACTTCCGGTTCACGGTCAACACAGTGTTAGCAAAAGATTTTTTTCACCCGACAACGACTCTTAATGATCTCCACAGTACAGAATTAGCATATTACATGTACCAACATTAACACAGGAGAC